TTCGGCGATATTTCCCTCAGTGATGATATTTTCCTCGGAGCAAAGCCCCTCGGAAAATATCATCACTTCGGGAAATATTACGCCGAATCCCCCTCGCTTCGGGTCTATAAATGATAATTATAAATTGACAATATATTACAAATATAGAGGCATATATAGATATGATAGCTACAGTATATAACTATAATTTTATTGTATTTCGCAGTTTTTCCAAAATAAAAGTAATTTCACCTATATGCGATGGCAAAAGGAATACAAAACTGAATGTTGTTCGTATAGTTTATGTAGCCTACATCTGGTTTAATTTATTATTTTATTCGTGCAGATAGCTTAGTTCATTATTCTGCGGTAGTTCCTGCAAAGCAAAAAATAAAAAGTACAAAAAAATTACAGACAATAAAAATTACCAATATTTACTGTGAGGTAGCAAGTGATAGCCAAATTACTGCGAGACGCGGCTTTAAATAAAAATAATGCATTTAAAAATACTGTCCATGTATGCATGCACTTAAAACAACAACATCCAGAGCTAACGAGGCTCTATGCAACATTACAACTTCAAACAAACCGATTTCTATATTCTGGGGTTTTCAGACCACCAAGGCGTCCTGATTGGCTCCTTCAGCAATAATTCTGAGAAAATAGTTACTGCTCAGACTGCTCTGCTTGTTTTACTTATTTTGCGGGCAGGGGGGTGTGGGGGGGGAGGGGTGAGGTGAATAAAATTTTCGGACATACCTTTTTTACTAACTTACCGAATTTCAGTAATATTTTCGTAATAAAACTATAATTATATAATTTCGAATGTAAATTTGATTCATCTTAAAGAGTCATTGTCAACCACAATGCATTTGTTTACATCTTACCTTCGGAAGTGACAAATAGCAACAAATGACGATTTTAAACATTTCTTTGGTGCAATTTTAGTATAAAAAAGTTAAAAAGAGCAAGTATAACCATAGGATGGTAGTAATATATTATGGATTAAAAACCGAAACATCTATTATTCCGCCATTAAGATGGTCGCCAAGCAGGATTGGACGCACAATGCATTGTGGTTGACAATGACTCTTTAATTATGCACCATACAATTTACAAGATAAATTATATCTCGTAAATTGTATATTGTTGAAGATAAATCAAATTTAGATCAGAAATATGCGGTATTAATATAAATAAACTTTGTGTGTGCAGCACTTCGTAGAGTGCGCGTTCAGCAACCTTAACGAAAATGGTGTTGTCAATGACGTAAGATTTGCCATGACGTCACACTAATATTGGCATATTCATTTCCATCTCCATGGAAACCAACCACTCAACGAGGAAACCAAGCTCATTGCTTCAAAAAAGCAATGCTTTCTTATAAATTTTGAAGCGGTTTTATCAAAGTGAAAACTGGAAACGTCTTCGATAGGTACAAAGTATGGAATAAATCAATCTTTTTCAAGTGGATAAAGATGGACGACAGACGGTGAGAAGCTTTTGGAACCTTGTCTTTGAATTATTGAATATAGTTTTCACTAAATATTCATTGCAGTGATGCAGTCAGATTTTGATGTTTCTGTTTGGCAAATCCTAAAGAAGACCGAACAGAATTTTATTTTAATTTTTTACAAGAAACTTCTTAGTTTTGGATAAATCAAAATATTTGTTTGAATGGAGACAGCACGACAAGATGGCGGCCGAATTTATAGCTCAAGGAAAAGTTCAACCATTACTGAGCTATTAGCCCATTAGTCAATGCTATTTTTATTGTTTGTGTACATTATTGTAGTTGTCATGTCGGAGGAGTTAACAGAGAAACAACAAAAGACTTTAGAGTCGCTTTTAGATTCTAAACTTGAAATTATTACCGATAAACTTTGTGAAATCGACAGGAAGGAACAGGTGGGAAATTTGTCGTCGCTGACCAAAAAATTGCGGGCAGAAACAAAGCTCATTGCATTTACATTCAAAACAAAGCAGAAAGTTAGCAAGAAGCTGTTTTAGCTGACGATTTTTTGCTTTCCATTCAACGATTTACAAATTATTGGTTATTCTTTTAAAAGTCGATCATGAATTCTTTGTTTTGGGATGATTGTTTTGTAATCGAGTGATTGGAAGAAGTTAATATGGCGACGTGAACATGGGAGTAAATACCGTATACGTCGATCTATGGCTTGTTTAAAACCGTAATAAACGAAGAAAGACGTGATTTGAGAATGAAATGTAAGTTGAAATTAACTTTATATGCCTCAAATTTTCCATCCTATGTTTCTTAATGTAACTTCAGCTGTCTAAGTTCAAAATACAAGCTCGCGAAATTTGACAAATTTTGAAAATATGTAAAAATAGCTTGACTTTGAACTGTATTTTCTCAAAAATAGCCCGTGGCCTCAATTTCAAATATAGCTAAATGAAAAGAAAAAAGTTTTCGGCGTTTGTAGGTATCAAACATATCGTCAGGAAAATAGGGGCTCACAATGTTTTAGTTCAGTCTTTGAGACCCAGTTGCTTCGCACGTGTTGTGGTCAAATTTTTGCCAAGAATCAAAGGCCGAAATGTGAACTTCCTTCATGAAAACCGCTTCAAGAAGGGTCTAGTTTGAAAATTTAGCTATTAATTTCGATTTCATGAGCATATTTTGGTTACACGTTAAGTATTTTTGTGCTTGATGCGATTCAAAATTTGTTGTATATTCAAGCCCGGCTTTTGTGTAATTTTGGTGATGACCGGAACAGAAATAAAGATATTTTAAAAACTGGCCGTGGCCTCACGATAAAACTTTCTACAAATGTTCTCTGTTTCATGTACTTTTATTTGATATCTTAGGTATAAGCGTAAAAATAGGGGCTCATACAGTTTGAGAGGTTGTAAAATGCATGACTTGCCTCTATTTTCATGTAAACATTCGAAATTCTTCGACAGCAAAGTAGCAACTGTTTCAGATCGAATGCACACGGACAGCCCACCAGAGACAATGGCAGGGTACTGAAATAGAACGGCACTAAAAAGTTCTGTGTGATTAATTTAGATCATGTCCACTCTTTCAACATAAAACAGTCATTTATTTTGTACAAACATTTTGCAATATTTACACGATTGTGCTTTTTTGTAAACACGCGTTGCGTGTATTCCACACAATTGCGTGACTCATTTTACTCGCGCATGCTCAGACAAATTTCCCACCTGTTACAGGAAGGTTGAAGACGCCTGGAAATCTCTCTCCTTCCTTAGTAATAAAGTGGATGACGCATTAAATAAACTGAAGAAACTAGAAGAGGCCAAGAAAGTTTCCGATAAGGAGATCGCAAAGCTAAAATCGGACCTAAAGGTCGCCAAAGATTGTCTACACACGTATCAAGCATCTCTAAATGATCTTGAGCAATATTCTCGTAGGGGAATGTCTGGAGTTACGTGGTATACCTGTAATAAGTAGAGATACTTCAAGAGAGAATACAGAAGACATTGTAAAGCAGGTAGCAGATTGTATTGGTGTTGAGTTATGCTCAGATGACATTTCGATCTGTCATCGTTTGCCTGTTAATACCATGCCGGCGCAAATGGAGACTCGAAGCAGTTATAAAAGACGACCAATGAATCTTACTATTATTGTCAAGTTTGTTAGACGCAATAAACGCGAATAATTCTACCGAGCACGAAATATACTTCGAGGGAAAACTGTTAATGACCTAAATCTTAATCTCAATACCGGTGAAAGAATGTTCATTGCAGAGAGCCTGACAAGAGCAAATAAAGTTTTATTTAGTAAAGCTCTACAAGCAAAGAAGGATCGTCACTTCAAGTACATTTGGACCTCCCAGGGGAAAATATTTATGCGCAAGGAAGATTCCACTAATGCCATTCAAATCAGCTGTGAGAAGGATATTGAATCTAAAATTCATTGAACAGAATATACAGATAAGTAACCATAGTCATAGATATGTCCAGTCATACTAATACTGCTAGAATTAATACTAGATTGACAGACGAATATGATTTTACTTCCCTGCCATATTTAAAACTATCCGAAACTATTAGGAGTGTCCCTTATGTAAATGTTTGTGATTCTGACTTATTTATTCCCCCAAAATAACTTAAACTTTAATTATTATACACCACAGGAATTTCGTAACAATGCAAATATTCAGGAATGCTTATTACTTAGTAATTATCTATCTATCTTGCACAGTAATATTAGAAGTCTGGGAGCCAATCGCGATCAATTAACAAGCATGGTTTCTGAACTAAATCATCAGTTTTCTGTCATTGGCCTCTCAGAGACAAAGCATAGATTCGATCGAGCTAGCCTGCTAAATACTGAGATACCTGGATACACCTTTTTATCTCAACCAAGCATGTCAAATGCAGGTGGTATAGGTTTTTTTATACAAAATAAACTGAAATTTATTAAGAGAGATGAGGTCTCGATTACAACAAATGATTTTGAAGCCCTGTGGATAGAGCTTATTGATAAATCTAAAAGAAACGTCCTATTTGCAGTTATATACATACATCCGCATGGAAATATTTCTACATTTATGGACTATTTAAATTCTACTATTGATAAAGTTCATAGAGAAAGGAAACATTGTGTAATCATGGGCGATTTTAACATTGATTTACTTAAGTATGAAGAACATCAACAAAGTGATGAATTTATTAATGCTCTAGGGACTTACTCTTTCCAACCTTATACCCTTCAACCTACAAGAATAACTGACCATTCTGAAACTCTAATAGACAATATCTTCTTTAATTCTATTGATCATGACTTAATAAGTGGGAATCTGATTTACGACATTTCTGACCACCTCCCAAATTTTTTGCTTATAAACAATATGGCCATTTCACAATGCAGAACAGGCATTTATAGTCGAGATTATTTAAAATTGAATGAGATCGCTCTGTGTGATGAGATTAGCATTTTAGATTGGAAAGAAATTTTATCCCATTGTCATAATTCTGATGATCTTTTCAACACTTTTCACTCAACTATTTCAGGTATTATTGATAAGCACATCCCTTTGCGAAAATTATCACGAAAGCAATCTAAACAGCAGAAAAAACCCTGGATTACAACTGGTATTAGGACTGCTATTAAGAAGAAAATTAAACTATTTAAAAACTTTATTTGGACAAGATCAAATTCGGTCCAAGCTAAATTAAAATTATACAGGAATAAATTAAATCATCTAATTAAAGTATCCAAACGAAATTATTACAACAACTATTTTACAAACAACAAAAATAATACAAAAAATACATGGCAAGTTATTAAACAAATATATACTAAGCCAAAAAGAGTTCAACCACCACCAAAAATAACAGTTGATGGCGTTGAAATAACTGATATCACAAAAATAGCAAATTAATTTAATGTATTTTTTTGCAATATTGGGTATTGTCTGGCTAATAGTATCCGTCAAAGTAATACTACCCCATTGCGATATCTTCCTCCTAAATTAGATAATTTTTTTTATCTTTTCCCTGTATCAGAATCTGAAATAGTGGATGAAATTTCAACTCTAAATGAAAGTAAGGCCACTGGACCTTTTAGTATCCCCACCAAAATTTTAAAGCTCCTAAAATTTTTAATCTCTAAACCACTGGAGATTTTATTTAATTTTCCATTTTCTTCAGGTACGGTACCAAGTCAATTTAAACTAGCCAGAGTACTTCCTGTCTTCAAAAAAGGAACTCAAACTTTGTGTGAAAATTATCGACCATTACTAAGTATTTTTAATCGTATTTTAGAAAGGTTAATGTACGAAAGACTAATTAGTTACATTGAGAAATTTAATATTCTTTACAGCGAACAGTTCGGATTTCGAGAAAAACACTCTACAGAACATGCTATTCTATCCATTATAGATAAAATCGAACATGCGGTAGAGGATCAGAGGAGGTTGGACAGCTGTCACGTGAAAATCTCGACCAATGAAATCTCGCTATTTTCCCATCGTGTTTGCGAAGATTTTTGGCCGTCAAATTTGCATTGGACACAGAAAAACTCAAAAAATATATATAAATATTCAAATTTTTCTATCAAAATGCAACCATGGCCTTAGTATTATAACAGGACTGGCGATATGTGCAAGAATTTCTGAGGTAAACGTTATTTTTTAACCTGTTTTCGATGATTAAAGTTGGTCATGCCGTGGCAACGTGATGACTC